TTGTTCATATTAAAATAATATTAACTTTAACAAAAACTCTGCCTATTCTTTTTCTTAATTCTAGCCTATAGATTAGGCTAAGAAAATAAATCACCACACCGTAAAATGAACTCTAAGGAAAAATTCCGAAATTGACCCAATACAAGTGATATGGCGACAACTACAACAATAATCGAAATGGCAATTCTATAAATATGAAATATTGAATTATCCACGGGAATATGCAGAAACAATTAATGTTACCCAAATGATGCTATTAAACCAGATCGAAAACGTCGGGCAATGGCCGACCGGGTTCTTTCGGACAGACATTGTAATATTTTTGAGAAAAACTGAGAACGAACAGCAGCGAATGCTGCAACAATTTTAACAGCGCCTGTGGTTAGTTTTACTCCAATAATAGATTTTATTGATTTAATGCTTGGAAAAGATTGGGTATTGTAGAAAGAAGCGGAAATCTCATAATAAATCCTTCAATTTCTCTTAATCACTAAATTTAGTTATTGCACATAATATTGTAAATCTTGTGGCATATTCCTTCTGAGCTGTGGTAGAAGTTAATTTCTATTGGCTTTAAAACTTGGAAGAAGAATGAGAAACTGGCACACCCAAAGAAAGTAGAATGAACTGAAGTGGAACCAATTCGGATGTCTTGCTACCGTTCCACATATGCTTCTTACACCTTCCGTTGAAAACTTTACATAGAACTTCTTGAGCCTTAGGTTAATTTGTATCAGAGCATTTTAAATCCTTGAAGCAGTTGTATACTCTAATTAACTACCTGTGGACCTCTTTAAGTATCCGCACACTTTATTTTGAGGCATCTCCCCAGTAAAAAGTCATTTTTTACTATTTTACTATAAAGACCACTATAAAATCCATAATTTCCGTGATTTGAAAATACTTTTCAACTCAAGATGTTTTCTGCCAAATTTTCTAAGCTGTAATTCACATGAGCAAAACCAGCTTCCTTTATTCCAACGCAATCTCAAGATCCAGTTTTATTCCTTGATGAATAAACAAACAAGGTCACCTTAAGCAAAACAAGCACTCCAGGATACCGGAAGCTGTGCAGTAATTCCTGATGTAATCCGATTCTGCCAAATATTCAAGTGTAAGCTGAACTAACAACTAGTTCGACAGCTAGTAGAGAAATCCACTATGTTACCGTCCCAGATATATGCTTTCAAAGGACTAGTCACCCTGTGTAACGCTTCATGGTAGGATCTTCTTTAACTCCTACAAGGTGAAGGGTAGGGGTTAAGCGCAATTCAATATATCGTAGTGATACGTGGCACAATTACGAAGAAAAGTCACTGTAGTTGATATCTCCTCCCATTTCTGGGAATGTTCTGCGGTGTTTTTTGTACTTCTTGTTTTCACTTGCTATTGACACTTTTTCCTTACAATCTACCCAAAAAGCATTGATTTTTGGGCAAAGTCATTCCTTCACCACAAATTCTGCATACTATTTCATCGTGAAGGTTTTCTCGATCGAAATTTTCTAAACATGTCCAGGAAGCTCGTTTTCCACATCGAGAAATTCAGCGTGCTAGAAAGTTATAGACTTATTAAAATGCTTCTGTTCACACAACCACGAAATCAAAAAGGAGCAACCAACTTTATTGAGCAAACGTGCTCTATTGCTAAAGATGTGGCCTTTTTAGCATTCCACAGGGCGAATTAAGAATATTTTTATAAGAAGGTCTAAATGCAGAAAAAAAAGACAATTTCTCTCCATTGATAACA